GTCTATGGGACTTCAGCATGAGGTACTTATGCCAAATTATTACTTTGCTTCTAGAACACTCAGGTGATAAGAGTTCAGTTCTCTATGTTGAGCTCTCATTCTCAACCCCATTCCTCTATTCATAATAGAACACCAGTTACACCAGGGCCATACGTCACATTCCTTCACATACCTCTGTGGTAACATCCAAGTGGACCACAAAATATTTGCCAGGCATGGGCTTGAAGAGCAGGTAGAGGTAATGACCAGTCAGCCCCAATGACTGTGTACTGGTTTTGGGAAGCTGGATGTAGTTACTGGCAGGAATGGAGCCACGAATGCGATATACTGTTCCCTTCAATGTCTTGTCCTAAAATAAAGAGAACATGCATTGATGCAAAGGTCTGTCCTACAGTCAAGTAAGAGAGGAGATTCAGTTGCAGAACTCGCACTGCTTATTCACGCAACATATGCAATTACAAATTCCATCACTGGCTTCAAGTCAGATATAGGCCGAGATTAGTCTAACAGAGCTGTGGACAATAAGAGGTAGAAAGTTCTGAGGCCATACATCAGGGCTATGTCTACACTGGCCAGTCCTGCGCAAGAACATATGCAAATGAGGCACGGTGATGAATCTCGCCGCGCCTCATTTGCATACTTAAGAGCCTCCGTTTTTGTGCAAGGGGCTTTTGCGCAAGAAGGAGCGGTCTACATTTCTCCTTCTTGCGCAAAATCCTCCTCTTGCGCAAGAGCCGTTCTGCCTGAAAATAAGCGGCAGAACGGCTCTTGCGCAAAAGCCCCTTATGAAAAATGGTGGCTCATTTAGTATGCAAATGAGGCACGTGATGCCTCATTTGCATATGTTCTTGCACAAGACTGGGCAATGTAGACGTAGGCCAAGGGTTCTCAAACAGTTTCTTGGAAGATCCCATCTTAACAGAGACATTTTTCCACAACCTCCTATCTTCTCACTTGTGATCACATTACATCCTCTATGGCAACAACAGCGATTGCTTAAATGGAAGTGATATATGTTTTAGCTGCCTGTAATGTGATGTAGGAGGGAGAAATGACAGCAAACACCAGTTGGCCAAATTGTTCTTTGGGAACCACCAGCAAAAGCTCTCTGGACCTCTTTAGGCACCTCTGTTGCAATAAGCAGGAGGCAAGGTGGAAAGATGTCATTTTCTCTTTTGATGACACAGAGCAAGGGAATCTGAAATCTTCCTCTTTTTTTAACATCACAAAGCAAGGGGGACTGGGAAATCCATCTCTCTAATGGTCACAGCGTGCTTGTCTCTCTCTCTGTAGTACAGCTGGGTCCAATCAGGAAATATTAGGACTACAATATGTTACCATAAATGTTGTCACATCTCCCTCCTTAGTTGATCTTTTCCACTCTTCCACTTTAAAGTGCTTGAAGACATTCAGATACGGATGCTGCCACACTGCATAGAATCAGAAGAGAGTGAAGATACTAGGATATCATAACTGGACACACTGCTGGTCATGATGATTCATCAATACACACCAGGGAGTTAAAGCAACCCATTAACGCACTCGCCAGATTATGCTAGCCTCCCAGCCTCTTTTACTGACACATGCAATATTTGTTCCACGAGGACAGGACAGAAATTCTTCTGAAATGCAGAAGCTGGTGCCTGCTAGGGATGAGAACGGATAACTGGTTAACCTGTTAACCGCTGAATTGGTTTACCTTACCAGGTGCTGCTTGCCAAGTACTGGTTAATCGGTACCCGGGAGCAGCCCACTGCGGCGGAAGGCTGCTCCAGCCCCATGTGGGGGGTGGAGGTGGGGGACGAAGCTGGAAGCAGCAGCCCCTGCACGGCCAGGGAGAAGGGCAGCTCCCACGCAGCTGGGCAGGCACAGCCTCCTGCGGATCCCGTACTTAATCGGTTAACCAGCTACCCCGAGGGTGCGTCTAGACTGGTAAGATTTTGCGCAAAAACTAGCCAGCTCTCTACACTGGCCGCTTGAATTTGCGCAAGAGCACTGACAGCTAATGTAAGAATCCGGTGCTTCTCGCTCCCGCTCAGGGATGAGCCCTCTTGCGCAAGAGGCCAGTGTAGACAGGCACCTTAACTTTTTGGGCAAGAAAGCCCAATGGCTAAAATGGCCATTGGACCTTTCTTGTGCAAAAGTGCATCTAGCCTGGGCACGGATGCTCTTGTGCAAAAGCACTTTTTGTGCAAAAGCTTCCGTGCCAGGCTAGACGCTCTTGTGCGGAAATACTTTCGTGGAAAAACTTTTCCGTTACGGGTATTTCTTCAAAATCCCGCCAGCGCAGACGCCGGTTAGCGAGTTCCCTCGGGTGTCTCGCGCCTGGAGCCCGCCGCGCGCCCCGTGGGGAAGGCCCGTGGGGGCTCTGCGCTCGCCCCTCAGGCGCCCCGGCCCCAGCACCAGGGGGGCGGTGCCCTGTGCCAAGGGGGTTCACGTGAGAGGTCCCGGCCCCTCTGTCTGCCT